GCTCAATTCTGAGTATTTTACTCCTTTTCTAATCACCAGTGATATATATAGTCTTGTATGCTGTGTCACTAATATACAGAAGCCAGTCATAGACAAACATAAACACGCAAACAGTTCCAGTGATAAAAAGAGATACAATACATAATCTACTGGGTCATTTTCAGTCTGAAATATTTATTTAAAAACAACTCAGCTCTCTCAGGACAAATATTATCATTTCTAGAATTACAAGTGTGCCTGTATTTTTCTGACTATTCAGGTGTTTGTTTCAGAGCAAAAGATAGATAATGTTATATTGTTCTGAGAAAAAATGATTGTTGACTAATTATGGTCAGCCACCAAGATGTATAACTCATTATTAGATTTGGATAGTAATTAAGACTGGTCACTGAATAGTCAGACAGGCATTGTGTATGTGACAGATGGGACCTTGGTTAAGTCAGTAAGGACGGTACCTGTAATTCCTCGGGCTCTGTCATGCTCTCCACTGTCACCTGACTTAACCAACGGTACTCTGTATTTATCACTGTTGCACCTCCCTCATCTAATCTCATCACCTCTTTCTTTTCATTTCATTCTTCCTTCCTCCCCCCTTTGAAGTGGTCTCCTTGGAAAAAACAACATCAACTTTGAAAGAGCTCTTGCTGAAAGGGAGCTAGTGAGAATTCGTAAATCAGACTTGCGAGCCTTTTTTGTTCATTTTGGCCATGACCTTGATACTTACAAGAAACAGCGTGAGGCGTAAGTGATAGTATGCATGGAAGTACTTAGTACTTCAGCGAAGTGGCAACATTATATAATATATTGAATATATGTCAAAGGTCAAGGTCAAGCAAAATCACTAGCTTCAAAAGGTTTGATGGTATTTATCCTCACTGTGTGTTGAGATTATACCTACACGCTATCACCACTGTGGTCTGTTGTCTAATAGTATTTTATTAGTATTTTTAAAGTAAAATGAACAGTGTTTGGACTTTGTGCCAATGTCTGTAGTCTTCAGGTTAGAACGGGTAATAAAGGGGTTATGTTGGGTAACGTACGATTCAATATCTCTTCAATCACTAATGGATGGTCATACAAGATATTCATGTTCATTCCATTTATGATTTATGTTCTCTGATGTCATGATATCATAAATCTGATCTTTGTGCCTTCTTTCTTTAAAATCATAAAATGAAATTAACTTTGGTTGTCAGTCTGATATTGAACCACATTAAGGTTTATTCACCAGCAAGTTGACCCGTTTCATCACATTATCCTCACCTGTACCCTGATGTACCCTTCTTTCACACCAGGTATATCTCACCCTGATGACCTGTTAGCACCTAGCTGTGCATGAGCATGATTTACGTGGCACATTATTACTATTGTCACTTTTCTATATATGTAATCATTCTTCCTGATGATCTGGTACATCTTACGTATGACTGGAAATTGCATGTGTCTAAAAAGGCATATCTTTTCTGTGCGAGTAGCAGATATGACTGCATGAGTATTATGGGATACATTTGTTTAAGCTTCACCAACTAGCTCCTTCTGAAGCCCGCTGTGTGGATGCTGAATTGTAACAGTGGACATTGATATATTTGATAACGTTTTCCAGTCCCATTAAGAATTAACATAATCAGTCGACATCTGGTGACTTAATTAATATAAATTTGGGCTTCAATAAGAACTCTCTTTTAACATTTCTGAAATAAAACTATGAACCTGCTTAAATTTTGTACTTTCTATAACTTTAACTAACAGGTGTTGATATTATGACAGTGATCTGGAGTACGTGTATGTAACTTACCTCTGTATTGACAGCTTCGCTAACCCAGAGATAGCCGACTACTACGCCACTCAGAGAGCTTGTGGAGGGAACCACACCACAACCTTCCCTCACAAACGCATCACGCGCCTGTCACACCTCAGGTAATAGCAGTCAGACACATTTCAACTCATATACACCTGGATCATTTTTAACTTTCTTGTAACTGTGTTATCTGTATCATAGTTGCCCTTTCATCTGCAATTTGAAATCTGTAAGTGTGAGGCAACAAAATCACAAGTAGCGGACAGAAGGTAACCAAGCTGGAATCTACGCAGGGAAATAAAGGAATTCCTTTTTAAATAAGATTGTGATGGAACAAGTCCAGAACTGTTTAAACATTTGAACATGCGAATGCTGGGCTGAAAAGAAAACTTAGTTTAAGTTTTAGAAATCCCAAGAAATTGAAATGAATTCAAGATCCTTTTTTTTTTTACCTGTTTTACTAAGAACATATTTAAATGTTAGCAAAATATAAATGTGTTCTTCGACTATCATATAATCTTCAACATTGCCACAATTTGATGTTCTGATATATTGTCTTAATTTGATGTTACCTTGAGTTGTTAAGGCATGATATTATACACAAAAACATACAAAACATGGACTAATGAAGTGTGCCTCTCTTTGGTCGTCATTTACACAAGATGGTTGTGTAAAATGGCACAACCACATAAATAAACATAGGAAAACGTTCCTAAGATTGATGTTTGTGCTAACAAATATGTATCTGCTGCAAAGCGAGTCGAAAAATACACATATGTACAAGCAATAAGCTAAACTGAAATTAAAGGATATAGTCCGAAGATTGACATAATCAGATTTCTTATAATTAGCTGTGCATTGCAGAAATGCTTATGTATTATTGATTTTTATTGTTTTTTTAAGCCATCTGTTCCGGGAGGAAGAGGAAACTGTGTACCCCCTGTACAAGTAGGTACCCTGTTGAGTACTGATCTGTCTGGTAATCTACCCAACTTAGGCAACCATTTGTTGGGTAATGCTAGTGTTTACAATTTTTCTAAATACAGAGAAGGATAGGTATAATAATGAAATTATTAAAAGCAATACTTTACTAACCTGACATAAACATATACGTGTATATACAATGTAATAGTCAAGCTACTTTGTTACCAATTCTGACTATAACTGTGTCAGCAAGTCTAGTGCTAGATACCAGAGCTGTAAGTAAAAGGTATAGACAGTGGTATTATAAGCTGTGGATGTTGTAGGGAGGAGGTGAATGTCCAGGGGGCAGATGGGCACATCTACAAGGGACGTATGGAGAAGATGGAGGCCAAATATACACAGGCACAGCAGCAGACACGTCAGGTAAGTCATCAGCTCCTAGCAAAGGTAGGTTAGTATGATTAAACATTGTTAAAATGATTCCTAGCCTGATGAATTTCAGTACTTTATTTGTAAATTACACAATGTGGTAAGAAAATATCCACACTTTTCAGGTACAACATTGGAGTTCTACGACTAGGCTTATCCAGTCCTTTGGCTTGTGCAGATAGACAGCTGTCTCATGTTGATCTCCTCTTACATTTGATTCAGTGTTGCATGTACCAGTTAATTGAAATATGTTGGGTATAAGAAATCTTCGTCTTTACAGGACCCATACAAGCTGCACTCCCAAATGCATCAGGCTCCTCCTCCCATCCACCAGACTGGCGGGCAGCGTGTCACACAGCAAACCACTTCAGTGCGTGTGGCCCGCCCCACCTCGGCACGTCCCCTCCAGTCCCCACGCCCCACATCAGGACGTGTGACCATACGGCCAGTGTCTGCTCGTGGAGGAGGGTCTAGACAAGCCTCTCCAGTGCCAGAGTCCTCCCACACCACTCCTGTCCCAGAGGAGTCTCCGCGTCTCCCAGAGGGGGACCAGCATATAGAGGTGCCTACCACTGGCAACAACTGAACGCCGATGCAATAAAACTCTAACATAGTGTATTATGTAGATGTAATTTTGCACCTATTCAATTTTTTCGTATCATTCTCTGAATTGTGTGGTCATAAACTTATTGTCATTTAAAGACTGTTTCATCATGTACCTCCAGGACATGGAAGTTCTAGTTAGTTGTTCAATCTTATCCACACTCTGCGGAAAATCTAAGTGTTAGGCTTTTAATACCAGCATTACTGTATAACAAATCTGGTCTTTACATTTCTTGCCAGTGAGGAAAAATCATCAACGAAGAACTCTTGTGAAAACCCAATATTGTTTTCTATTTTTCCTTTTTATATTTTCGATACAAAAATTATCTGTTATTTTGGGTATTTTCAAAAAAGAGGAGGATCTTTTGTAACTTTTTTAAACTTTACTCATATTTGTTTTTTTTAATTAAGGTGTATTCTGTCTTAATTTAATGTCATTTACAATACATATATAATGACAAGTGTGAATGCACCGATTTTCTGTATGTGCAATGTGTATAAAATCTATACATCTATTACATGTTTTACTGTATAGCCCTGCTTTGTGTTTTTTATATTGTCAGCAATAATGTATCACCCTAGAACAGTATTGACACACGCCAGTCTCTAATTGTTAAAAGTAAAGCGTATCTGTGTTACCGACACAAGTATCGGTCCCTTGTTGATACTGATACTGGCATACCTTTTACCTTGTCCAGGGATCTTTTTATGCCGTCCATTGAAAATGATACTTTGGTCCATTTTACACCATGTTGTGATTATGACTAGTGTCTATTTTATACCGTCCATTGTGACACAGGGTTGTTTTGTGTCCAACGATCATGACTCTTGGGTCTATTTTTGTGTCCGATGATTGTGACACTGGGTCTGTTTTTGTGTCCTATAATTGTGATGCTTGGTCTGTGTCCAAAGACCGTAACACTGGGTCTGTTTTATGTGTCCAAAGATTGTGACACTGTTTTTGTGTCCTATAATCGCAACACTGGGTGTCCTATAATCATGACACTGGGTCTGTTTTTGTGTCCTATAATTGCGACACTGAATCTGTTTTTGTGTCCTATAATCGCGACACTTGGTCTGTTTTTGTGTCCTATAATCGCAACACTGGGTCTGTTTTTGTGTCCTATAATCGTGACAATGGGTCTG